CAGGTTTTGGAATGGAACTCTGTCTTGTGACTTCCAGCCAAACTATGGACAGGCATATGGGGTGAATATTTACATCAGGTGGATGCACTCCTTGGAGCGATCAGTTGTAGGAAAAAGGCAGTATTTGCACAGGGAGATAGCTGGGAAGGGAGGAGTTCGTGGGAGGGAAGGACCCAGGGTAGAGGTAACTGCGGGGAGGAAGTGGGAAGAGAACTATTACATTGTGGGGAATTGCTGTCAGTGTCATGAGACAAAATGTGTATGAGCTGCTATATGGAAAATGTAAACTTTCCCCCAAATCACAATGAAAATTAAAGAAAAAGACATTAATTTTCACATTTTTTATTTTTAGGAATTAGATGTTACTACTTATGTTCTTCACTCAGATATCTGTTGTTAGGTTTAGTCTAACTGCCTGCTCTCAGCTGGGGAATGGAGGCACAGAAGGAAAGGGAGGGAGCTTACCTAAGTCATGTGACCAACTCTCTTGCCTCTTAGGGAAAGCTTACAGGGGAAAGCAAGGCAACTCTTGTAGTATCGATGACTCTGTTTTTATGAATGTACCAGTTTTAGAATTGTTTCCTCTAGTCTTCCCTTTTGGAACGTTTTGCTTTTTGTCTGGCTTCTGAAGGGACGCACCAGAACAGTGTTCCCCAAGCATGAAGCTGTTTCACTGGCATGTGTGAGGGGCTTCAGAGATGAACACACATAACACCTGTTTATTCTGATGTATTAGAATTAAGGCTTTGCATAGCAAACCAATGTTGTCAGGTGATATTGGTCAGATAAATTATCAAATAGAAGAAAATGCAAAAGCCAGAACCTGTCAGAGAAGGAAAACGCAAAAATTTCCCATAAAACGAGCAATAGAAAAGTGGTGAGACTGTACTTGCGAGACCCGGAAAAACAAGGCAGTCCTGTCATAGAGTTCCAGCTCTCCTGGTTTTCGCTGTAATGCTCTCAGATGATATTGGTCAAATACAGAGATAAGCTCATTTTGGTCAGTTTAAAGTTTTAAGCATTTAGTATGTTTTAAAAACAGGTATATATACATTTGGTAAAATTTTTAAACAGTGCAAAAGGGTATTCGGTACATAGATTTCCCTCCTACCCTGACCCTGGGCTTTTACTTTGCCTTTCTAGAGGCAAGCATTTATCATTTCTTTCTTTCTTTTTTCTTCAGAAAGATCATGTTTCAGCTATTTTTCATGTTTCAGCTCTTTTTCTCCTTTAAATTTTGAATTAAGGCTCATAGGAAGTTGCAAAAACAGTACAGAGAGATGCTATGTAACCTTCACCCAGCTTTCCTAATGTAACATTTTACCTAACTGTAATGCAGCAGCCACATCAGAAAATCGACATTGGTACAACCTACACACTTCATTCAGATTTCCATAGTTTTTACATGCCCTTGCTTGGGTGTATATGTGTGTGCACACAGTTCTGTGTAGTTTTATCAGCAAGACACAGATCGGTTTTATCACCACAATATTTTCATCCCTTTTAAGTTAATGAAATAAATACAGATGTCCTGAGGCTGGCAAATATTGTGAACTTAGGGAAACAGGGTACTAGGATATTCATCTAAGAAGAGCTAGTTTGGGATTTAAATCCAGCATCACTTCCTGATTTAAATCCCAGATTACTACTTTGTTGTTTTTTTTTTCCCCCTAATATTAAGGAATTCCTTAAATGATGTGGAGACTGTTTGCATAGCCTTACCAGGTAGTCTCTAGTACGCAGACATGTGTTAGACTGACTCCTGTGCCTTCCTTATTTTGGGGGTGATGGGATAGTCCAGACTGACAGTTGCTCAAATCTTCTTCCCAAAACCCAGACCTCTCTTGCCTACTGTTTTTAGACATGTTAAATATATTCACTTAATACTTCAACTTATTCTTTTGGTTTTGATCATCTTTTGAAACAAATTTTCTTTTTTTTTCTTCCTCCCTTCCCTCCACATAGGATGAAAAGAGACGTAGAGTTACCTCCAAAGAACTGTAAGAATTTTTTTTTTTTATGTAATGTGTAATCTAGAAATGATTTTTCTGGGAAGTTTAACAAAGAAGAACTTTATAGTGAGTTGCCATGGTGACCATAGATCTGTTAAGGGGGCCAAATTTGGGGTTATATTATTAATCCTTTGATTCAGGTAGAATTCTCTCATTCCTTGTGACGACTGAATTGAGCACAACTGGCAGCTTCTCAGTCCCTGATTTAAAGGTTGTGTTAAATACCAAGTGTTAAAATAGCATGTGCCTTTCAGGGCTCCTGACATGAAGGTTGCTTTTTGGGAGGCTCTTATGAGACTGGCTTCTGGGGGCAGAGCCTGTGTAAATCACACTTGGGATGTGTTTTGTTTTGCTTGCAGAGTTGCTAGACCTCTCCCTGCAGAAGAGCTGGAAAGAGTAAAACCAGGAACTCATACCGAAAAGGAGGAAGAAAGAGATGAAAAAGTAAAGCCTTGTCACCTCCAATTCTCTTAAGTCTCCGTTAGTTTCACACAGTCCACATTTGACTTTGGGAGGGGGCTGGAGGTTAGAGTGGGGAGGAACAGAATGACTTTCACTAATGGTCAAAATGACCTTGACTTTTGACTAAAACACTTTTCAGACTCGATTTACTGGTGGTTCTCTACATGGAAGATGAGTTAAATGGCTCTTGTGACAGTAAATCCACCAACGTTAGACCTGTCGGCCTTTACTATTTAGTCGGACACAGAGTCTAAGCATTTCCTGTGCCTGCCTGCCTCTTTTTCTGTCAAGATCTTTGTGAAGATCTAGTTTTTTAACATAAGGTAGTAAAATCCTATGGCATTTTCCACATACAAAGTTGTGTGCTTACCTAGTCTTCCAGCTCCTCCATAAAATCAGAGAGTCTCTGAGCTGCTTTGGAGGGGGTGGGACAGGGAATGGGTGATTGCTGAGGGCTTTGGTTATTGGAAACTTTACCATTTGCAACGTTGCCCCATAGGGCAAAGGGCCATCATTGTGATTAAAGGTGATGGAGCAACATTGCCTCTCCCATTTTTTATTTTGTTGGATGCTGAGACATTGATTAGAGGTTTCTGACAAACTTGGAAGAGGGCGAATACCTTGGGATCCTGCTAATGGATGGATATCCCTTATTTTGCTAGAATAGGGTGAAAACTAAGATGTATAATAATTCTTGAACCATTTGGTACTTGAAGGTAGTCTTTATTTGTCATTTTTGCTGCCTTGATAATAGTGAGAGTTCAGCAGTTATAGTCAGTATTCACCTAGAGTTCATTTCAGAAGCTGGCGTGTCTTGTGTGGTAGTCAACATGATTCCCCCAAGAAGCAATCGGGGCAGAACTGAAATCCCTTCCTTGCCTGTGGTCAGACTGCCCTGGTCCCTTCTTGGCAGTAGGAAGGTCTGCAGTGTGTTTCTTCTCTTAATTTCACGACTGTCTTTATAAATGATTGTGGGTGGAGTTTTGTTTTGTTTTAAATGTGATAAAATATATCCAGCAGTGATGTGAGGTTTTGGAGGCTGAGTTCAAGTTGAAGAGTTTTCTGGAAAAGTGTGCTTGGCTTTTTAAATTCGGACTCGACATGGTGGATTGTCCATGTTTGAGGTGGAAGTACTGTCTAAATTGGGTTATAAATTCCAGGTTATGATATAAAATTACATATGAGGTTGTTCAGCACTTACTGATGACAGATGATGGAGGGTTTTAGGGGTGATATACTTGAATTGCATTATTACAGAAATTGAAAAAATTAACTAGTTTTTTCTTCCTCACTTAGGAAGAAAAGAGACTCAGAAGTCAAACCAAAGACCTGTGAGTATAATTAGCAAGCCTTTGTGCCTTCTATGAAACATTACTGCTAAAATAAGTGTTGTGGTGAAATAAAGAGCTGAAGCAGAGGGCTGGGGGTACTACCTGTACATGTAGTGTGTGGGTGAGTCTGCTTGTGCAAGGTCAGACCACCACAGCACAGGCGGAAGTCGACTTTACTTCCTGCTCCTGACCCCAGGCCATTTCTTAAGGGTGCTCATACAGTAGTCTGTCATGTGCAGGTGAAAGGGCATTGAGGGCAGAGCTGTGTCCGTCGCCTCTTGCTAAGAAAATGCTGTGTAACAAGCTGTCCCAAAGTTCAGTGGCGTAAAACTATAAGCATTCCCACCAGAGAAAGAAAGAAATCCAGCAAGCACTCATTGTGCATGAGTCTGTGACACAGTGGCTGTCAGCTGATCTCGGCCGGCCTTGGTGGGGATGACTGGGCTGACTCTGCTGTTCCTAACTCCGCTAGCCTGGGCACATCCTCCTTGCAATGGCAGAGTGTGAGAGCAGAAAGAAGGAAAAAAAAAAAAAGCATTTTTCTAGCCTCTGTCAATACCTAGTCATTAAAGTAGATGATGAGACTGGGCCTGATTGAAGGGGTGGACAGAATACCCTCCCCCAGTGGAGGCCCACAAGTGCAGTCAGCTTTCTGGGATTGCTGAGGCAGCTTGCACATCAGACCAGCTCTCAGGAAGCCATACAGGACTGGCCTCAGGGCCAGATGCCTGCCTCCTTCCACTGCAAGCTGTTCCCTTCAGGTTACCAGAATTCATTAGGGTCCTGTTTTTTGTTTTAAACTGCTGGCATTTCTGACCAGCATTCATACGAAGTGTTGATGGTATTTCTGAAGATCTTAAAGACTGAAGTAAGAAATGCCTTTTAGGTTTTCTCCAGTGAAGACTTCCCTATCCTTCAGCTGAGAAGGAGAGTCCCTGCTCTAAATCTGGGGAGAAGGCTGTGTAAGCCCTCCTTGGGGCTAGCTGAAATGGTGTCGGGGTCTCTGAGCTCTGACTGACACATGTGTTTTGTGTGACAGAACACCCAAACAGAAACCTAAGGAGGAGCTGGACAGAGAAGCAGTACCAGGAATTCACGCTGAAAGGGATGAAGAAGGAGATGAGAAAGTAAAGACTGAGTCTACATTTCTTAACTCTTAGTCTTACTTGCTCCATTTCTTTGGGGAAAATGGTGCTGAGTAGGGCTCTGGGCAAGTTTCCTGATCCACCTCTTGGGGGCTGGTGGTTGTCACCGCATGTCAGCCTTGATGCGTAGTGAGCGTTCAGTTGCAATTTATCCATAATGGAAGAGAGGGCTTTTTTTTAATGGGCCATGACTAAGAAGTATGTGAAAACAGCTTTTCTTGTGATCATGAGTGTTTTAAATTCTTCTGAGGCTAGTCCTGCACCCCCCACCAAACTTCTAGGCCTCCAGTTCAGCTAAATGAAACCCTGAGATGTTACCCCTGGAGCCAGGGCTGTTCCTGTATGAGCAAAGGATGATGAGGTTATCTGCAGGGCAGTCCTGCTGCTAGAACTCTACAGAAGGAGGATGGGGCATCTGTTTAAGGAGTTTGGTCCCTCTGTCTGAGAGAAGTGAACTAGGACCAGGACAGTCCCATAATTGTCACTGTGGTCTACTGCCTGTTGAGACCTGGCACGTGGAGGGGGCCCGAAGTCAGATTCACTGGGTCGGGAGTGTTCCCCCCACTGCAGTGGCTGCCAATGGCGTCCATTCTCATCCTGTAGCAGATGATCCTCTTTGTATTGTGTCTCACTTGCTCCAGTGTCTTCCTTTTTCTCACTTTTTCTATCCAGATACTGGACGACAGCAGTTACTATCAGCACTTGCCTAGAATCCCTTCCAGAACTAGAGAGATCTTAGGGGTGTTAGCAGACCACCCATTCTGCTCACATGGCAGTTGGCAAGAGCCTTAGATCACAGCCAACACTTTTGCCCTGTGGTAGGAAGGGATGTAAAGATCAAGCATTTGGTTTTTCCTCCTACTGTTGAATTGTCTATTATTATAAATCTACTTATAGATTTCTTGCTTTATGAAGATGAACTGGATAAATGTATCAGAAAGTTTTTTTTTATGTGCAGCCTCAGAAAATACTAGACTGTTCATATGTAACAAGGGATTGGTAACCAAGTTGGGAATTGCTACTTTCATTTTTTCTCAATTTTCCCTACTAGATTCCTAAGTTAGATTTTTTTTTTTTCTTCTGATATCCAAGTGCCTGTCTGTATGAGACCATGTGGTAAATGGAACCATAGGCATTTTGGCTGATGAGCAAAATGTCTATATATTCCCTTCTACACTGACCTGTTGTCTTGGACAGGGATCGGTAAACTGCAGCTCTCAGGCCACATCAGGCCCTCTGGCTGAATAAAGTTTTATTGGAACACAGCCATGCCTTTTTATTACATGCTCTCTGTGCCTACTTTTGTGCTATAACAGCAAGTTGAGTAGTTGTGACAGAGACCACGTGGCTTACAGAGCCTAAAATGTCTGGCTCCTTTAGAAATAGTTTGCCAACCCCTGTTGTAGGAGTTTCTTTAGTACTTGCTTCCTTGTTAAGGGATGGGGACCCACGTCAGTGAAAATGTGAAGACTCAGGGCTCCCTCTAAATCAGCTCAGGTCTTTCTGGTCTCTAGTTCTGCAGTACTGAGATCATTAAATGACACGTTGGCCTCAGTCTTTCTCAGAAACTAATTCCCCCCCTTTATCTCTCCATGCCTTCTCCTCCCCATCTCTCAGGATGAAAAGAGGCATAGAAGTCAACCCAAAGATCTGTAAGTGGTTAAAATGCATGTGCTTTTGCGCTGTGCTTTGTGTAATCCTTTTGTGGAAACCTAATGATAACAGAGAGGTTTACAGGTGTTGGCTGTCCTATTCAAAGACTGGGACATTTAGGGCAGACTTGGATAAGAAAAACCCTGGGCCCATCCTTAATTTCTTCTGCTTCTGCCAGCATTCCCATCCACTGCAGAATCATGCGTGCCTTCTAGCGTCTCTCCTCAGGCCCCACGTATGAGAGATCAGATGGTGCTTATGAAGGCCCTATTTAAGAATTATAAATTAATAATGCACCTTTAAAAGGAGCTCTGGTAGTGTAGTGGTTAGGGAATGTGGCTGCTAACCAAAAGGTCATTGGTTTGAACCCACCAGCTGCTCCACAGAAGAAAGATGAGACAGTCAGCTTCCGTAAAGATTTACAGCCTTGGAAACTCTATGGAAGCAGTTTTACTGCCCTTTAGGGTCACTGTGAATCAAAATTGGCTTGATGCAGTGGGTTTTGTCATGCTTTTAGAGCCACTGATGAGGGGGCTGCTTTTTTGAATGGAAGAATCTGTTCCCTAGATCTGTTCTGAATATTTTACTTTTCAATAGGGAATCATTAGGTTGTCATTTTTGGTGCTAATTGGCAATGTAATTAGTTTTTCTGAGCTTCCATTTGCTGTATTTTTGTTTCCATATCAGGGCTGCTAAACGAAGGCCTGAAGAAAAGGGACCTGAAAGAGTAAAACCACAGATTTCTGATGAAAGAGATGAGGATGAAAAGGTAAATCTTTGACATTCCTTTTCCAGTTTAACCATAAGTTTATGGGTACTATTGGTTAGGGTATAGTTTAACAAGTGGTTTTTTTTTTTTTAAATTAACATTTTATTATGAAAAGTCAAACATACACAGAAATAGACTAGAGTAAGGAACCCCCCCACGGACTCATCAACCTTTACCAGTCATCCGTCCACTCGTGGCCATGCTGTTCCAGCCAAACCTCCATGCATTCGTCTCAGCAACCCCTGCCCCTGGATGATTTTCAATAAACCCCAGACTTGCTTACTGAGGTATCTATAGAAGAAACAGCTCTGAAAGGAAAGCGTTCCCTTTTTTAACAACCACAATACTATTATCATACCTAATAAAATAAATAGTACCAAAGATTTAGTCATATTTGTCCTATCTTATCTGTAGTTTTTCCCTATCCTTTTTATTGCAGTTTGTTGAGGGAATCAGGTTTTCTGGCTTCTGGATTTTGCCACTTGCAGCCCTCTGGTGATTAGCATCTCCTCTGTCCCTATGTGTCTGCACACTGGTGGTTAGTCAGGTCCTGAGGCATGGCCAGATGCTGATCTTTTGCTGTTGTTTGCTTTTCTTCAAGAGTACTTCAGAGTCAGTGCCTCCTGTGCATCTCCCTTGGAGGCGCAGTGGCCTGGTTTACAATTTTAAGGTTGATCCCTGGGTTTAGGTGCTGTCTGTCCCTTCCTGAGGTTCCTCCTCAGCTTTACACCTTAGGTTTTGCTCACAGTCATTGCTTAAATCAGTTTCTTAACTAGGATTGCCAAGTGGTATGAGTCTAATTCTGTCATTCTTTTATTTACCCAAAGTAATTCTAGAAACATTTCCCCTCATCAGTTATTTGCTTACCTCAAGAGATGGTTTGGATAGGAGAGCTAAGGTGGTTTTTTTGTTTGTTTGTTTTTTTAATTGATCTGTCTTATGAATCCTTTCAAGAAATCTTTGTAAGATTTTTGATGGTGAGATTTAGATAATGGGGTGTCAGGTCTCAGCTTGCTTACTGCCCTTTTCCTACATTGAAGGTAATCAGCCATATAAAATGCTCAACTCTGAACACTTTCTAGATGTAAAGTACTTGTTGACCCTTTTTTCTTCTTCTGTTGTCTTCATTTAGGAGGAGAAGAGACGCAGAACCACATCCAAAGAACTGTAAGAACTTACTTTTTGTTTTTACACAAAGAAGGTCCTAATATGAAAATGATTGTTCTAGAAAGAAAGATAACAATGTTCTTAGAGAGTTTCTAGAGACAGTATTGGATGTGCTCAGTGAGGATGGGACTGAGATGCTCTGGTTCTTCCACTTCATGTGGTAAAACCCACTTGTGACCTAAGAGCACACCCCGTGCTGTAGCAACTGATGCTTGTCCATAGGCGAGGTCAGGCCTAAGTCTCACAGGTTGATTTTGTTACTGTCTTAAGTGATAACAACAACAACAACAACAACAAAAATTGATCTTGTGCTTTATTCCCAGAATTGAGAAAAAAGTAGCTCGAACCAAAACAGTAGTGTCCTCCAAGGTAAGCCTTTTCTTTGTCTTTAGAATGAGCTTGATGATGCCAATATTGTCCTGGCCAAATTCCTGCCAAACATTGGGTATCTGCTGAAGGGCTTTGGGGAGGTGGACCCTGTGCCATAGAGCAGCAGGGGGCAGGGGGCACGAGGTGACAGATACTCTACAGGGAGTTGACGTTTCAGATGAGGTGGTCAGGGATCACAGACAGACTTATATAAAAATTTATAGCTGCATCATTCCCAATAGGCAGAAACTGGCAACAACTCAAATGTTTATCAGCACATGAATTGACAGCCAAATTGTGGTCTGCTCGTACAATGGAACTGTCCACGAAGAAGATCTTGTACTCTATTAGCAGTGAAATGAGTTTTATTAAGGAATAATGCAGCTCTCAGTAAAAATACAAAGCATTCCTGTTCAGGTGGGGAGAGGTCTGTGTACACAGAGAACAAAGGAAAGGTGGGGATTGATGATTGGTGGCAGGTAAGATCAGCTTCAGCTTAAAGTCCTTGGAAATGTGAAGGTCAGCCACTTGGCTGGGAAAGAGTGAGTTACCACCTCAGTTACAGATGCTAGCTGGTGCTAGCTGGTTCCATTATAGATGGTTGTAATGGATTAGATCTGAAGGATTTCTGGCAGCACATTGGTTAGCGGCTGCTAACCAGAAGGTTGATGGTTTGAACTCACTAGCTGCTCCACGGGGGAGAGATGTGGCAGTCTCCTTCTGTAAAGAGCTGGTCTTGGAAGTTCTGTGTGGGCAGTTCTGCTGTCTTCTAGGGTCACGTGATGAGTCAGAATTGACTCGATGGCAGGGAGTGGATATACTTGTGAGTACACGTGCTTGTAGTCATGAGCACGCCCCCTCCCCCAGAACTAATTTTTGACTTCTTGACAAATTCTTCCTAAATAGTTTACACTCTCACCTTCTTACATTAGGAAGTTACATTAGTAAGTGGCCCCATCCTTCTTACATTAGACTGGAGTGCCTCCAGTTTGAAACTTCTGATTACATTACACCACTCAGCACTGTTTGCTGTTACATGCCATGGAGTCAGACCTGACTCATAATGACCCCTTCTTGGATTTCGGAGGACGTATCACTACGGAAGTAGATTGCCCAACCTTCCTTCTGAGGAGTGGCTATGAGTTTGAACCGCCAACCTTCTGGTTAGCAGTCATGTGCCTTAAGCACTATGCTACCAGAGCTCCACTCAGCACTAAACAGGAACAAACTCATGATACAGCAACATGAATTAACCTCAAAATGTATTGTAATGCATGAAAGAACCAGATGTAAAAAATAACACAGTGTATTATTCCATTTATATGAAGTTTTTCACTGGCAGAACTAAGCCAGATAGAAATCAAACTGTTGGTTGCCTTTTGTAGTTGAGAATTGACTACAAAGTGTTGGTATGAGGGCGTTCACTTTGGGCATGGAAACATGTCTTCATTGGGGTGTGATTGTGATTGCATGCGAGGGCACTTAGAAAAAATGACTGTCATTTGCAAATTATCTCAAACTTTTAAAAGTAGACCTTTAAGGTTATCATATAGCTGATTAAAGGAGCTCTGGTGGCATAGTGCCTAAGGCATTTGACTGCTAACCAGAAGCCTGGCAGTTCATACTCAGCCACTTCTCAGAAAGAAGATTGGACAATCTAATTCTGTATAGATACCTCCTTGGAAACCCAACGCAGGGTCGCTATGAGTTGGAATCAACTTGAGGGCAGTGAGTTTGGTTTTGGTTTGGTGGTGCAGTGACTAAGGCATTTGACTGCTAACCAGAAGGCTGGCAGTTCAAACCACCAGCTACTCCTTGGAAAGAAGACGGGGCAATCTACTGCTGTAAGGATCTGCCTTGGAAACCCAGTGGTGGTCATTGTCAGAATTGACTTGACAGCAGTGGGTTTATACCTGATTAATTCTCCATCTCAAACATTATTTTGCAAAGTTTTATATGTTGAATATTCCTATACAGTTAGTTGGTATCTATAGGCTCTAGAATGGAAGTAAGTAGTTCTCCAAACTCTGAATTGAAAATCTGGTCTCAGTAATGTTCTATTTATGAAGGTTAAATTATAAGGAAGAGTATTCCTCTTTCTGTGCTTACATTTACCCAAAGCAAGTAATATACACATTAAGGCTAAACTTTCAGGAAATTGAAGTTATAAAGCAAAGCAAGTATGCTTGAGGGATTTGGATTTCACTTAGTTCGACTTTGAGGACTTGGCCTGTGAAATGTTATGTGGAACAGTCTTGGTGTAAACGGATGTGTGGGAACACACTGGGGGTGCAGCACTAATGGGGTGGCTTGGCACTCCTTTCTGAGCCCCGTTTGTGTGCGTGCTTCCACAGACCCATCCTCCAAAGTGCGTGCAGTGCGGGCAGTACTTGGACGACCCTGACCTCAAGTATGAGCAGCATCCCCTCGATGCAGTAAGTTGAAGCCCTGCTTCCAGTCTGTTGCTTGCCATCTTTTGTGCCTGTGCTTAACAGTCCACTGTCTGTCAGGTGGACGAGCCACAGATGTTGACAAATGAGAAACTGTCCATCTTCGATGCCAATGAATCTGGCTTTGAGAGCTACGAGGCTCTTCCCCAACACAAGCTGACGTGCTTCAGGTAATTTCTGTCCTTTTTGTTAGTGTGCTTACTTCTTTGTAATAAGGCATTTCCCTGAAGACAACTAAGTTGTTAATATCCTAGGGTGAGGCTCTATCACACTTAAACCTGAAAAATTTCTTGAGCTGGTAACATTTCATGAATAAGAGCCACAGAGGTGTGTGTGTGTGTGCGTGTGTGCACACATGCACATGTACCCACTATAACCCTTGCCAGGTTTAGGGATTTTTTAAAATCTATTTTTAAATGACCTGCGTTAAATCTTCAGTCTGTATACATCCTGAGGGCCATTCATTCAAATGAGTGCCAGCCATGGGCTAGGTCCTGATCTCAGTGTTAGTGCACAGTGCAGTTCAGGTCCCTGCTTCCATGGAGACAGAAAATCAATAAGTTACGTATGTTATGTCTAACAAATAGAAAAGCATGGTAGGTGGAAGAAGTGGGTGGGAGAAAGGGGTTCTGCGTAGGTGGAGGGAAATGACTTGAACAAAGACCTCAGTGGCATCAGAACAACCCAAGGAGAAGAACGTACAGGCGGAGGGGGCAGCAAATACAAAGGCTTGGAGATGGGAGTGGTAATGAGGCTGGGGTGGTAGGAGATGGGTCAGGGAGCTGGTGGGTTGGGGCTGGGGCGTGTGAGGCTTCACAGGCTGTGGCAGTGACACTGCTCTGAGAGGTCCCTGCTGTCTGGACCTCTGTCAAGGCTCAGATGAGCTCAAGTGAGTAGATCCCCAGCCCTTCAGCGTCCTTTCATTCAGCTCTGTTCCCTCTACTTTAAATGCAGGTACTCAGAGGCTTACCTTTGTTTCCTGGTGGAAGTGGTTTGGTTCCAGTAACAGTTCATGTTTCCTTTCGGGTCCCAACATGTGTTTTCTTTCCCTAGAGAAGAGAAAGGTATCTCTGGGTGGTGCAATGATTAACACACACTATTGCTAACTGAAAGGTTAGAGGTTCAAGTCCCCTCAGAGGCACCTCAGAGGAAAGGCCTGATAATCTGTTCTGACGCACATGGGGTTGCCGTGAGTCAGAGTCAACTCTGTGGCAACTGATTACTAGAGAAGAGAATGGAGGAACATCACCTCAGTGCCTCCCATTGGGAGCCTCTTGGGAATGTCACTGTCAGGCAGCCTTTCTCTAGTCTTCCTGTTCATACCAGGTGAGAGGTATTTCCAGTGGGACAGGACGCCCCTGTGTTTCTTATTCAGACTCACACACACCCTTGTGGTCATCTGTGGTTATATCGAGGTCTACAGTGTTTGAGGGTTGTGTCTGCTTATCAGTGATTCCCAGGCCTGGCCTAGAGCAGGATTCAGACCTTTGACAAATGTACAAGTGAAGTGTACATTTCACTTATATACTTATATATGGCGACATAGTTCATGTCCTCATGCCTTCCTGTGGCACTCCTCGGAACAGAGGCTCTGGAGAGAGCCCAGAGCTGGAAGTGGGGCTGCTGGAGCCATGAATGTTAGGGTATGGGGTCCCTTGACTTCCTCCTCCAGTCAGAGTCTGCTATAGACTAATTCCTGTAGTGTGGTATGGTGTCATTAATGACACCCTTTCTGTGAGTACTGTATTTTTACACAAATAACTGTGATTGTTTGCCAATCCCCCCCTGTTTTCATAAACACACTATGCTAATTTTTAAAATAGTTGTAAATTTAAAAAAAAACCCAGAAAACCAAACTCACTGCCATTGAGTTGGATCCGACTTATAGCGACCCCTCCTTGGGTTTCCAAGATGGTATCACTATGGAAATAGATTGCCCAATCTTCCTTCCAGCTGGTGGGTCTGAACTGCCATCCTTCTGGTTAGCAGTCAAATGCCTTAAGCACTATGCCACCAGACCAGAAAAACCAAACTCACTGCCATGGAGCCAAATCTGACCCCTCCTGGGGTTTCCAAGGTGGTATCACTATGGACATAAATTGCCCAAACTTCCTTCCAAGGAGTGGCTGGTGGGTTTGAACCGCCAGCCTTCTGGTTAGCAGTCAAATGCCTTAGGTGATGACCAGAGCACCTTAAAAAAAAAAAAAAAAGAGCATAGGACTAACGATGGCAGAGAGTGGGAGGGGACAAACAAGCATAAAAATGCATTAATATGCCTCCTAGCAAGGCTACTGGAGCCAGAAAGCCTGGGTGTTCAGGTATCTCTGCTTACCTCTGGTACTTGGCCTGAAAGAGGCAGATGAGAACAAATAGGTGGGCTCATTCTGGGAACTAGTGGATCCCGTCCCCCATGGGACTCAGAGCTTGTCAGTGTTGACTTTCCTGAGAGCAGCCTATCAACTGGAAACTGGGTGTAATCCTGTGGTGTCAGGGTACAGACCCGCTTCTGGCCAGGCCTTTCTGAACCCTGCATTTGCTGGGACCAGAGAGCAATGCCTGTGCACTTTGCATGCTATGTCCACAGGGCTCCTCCCTGTGTGAGGAGACTCTGAGCCTGGCAGTCGGCACGTCCCGGCCATGTCATCATGTCAGGTGGTGGAGCAGCTGCCCTCCCTTCCTATGTGTCATCTGCACAAGCCTGTCTTTCCTACAGGACTTAAAGTCCTAAGGTCAGGGCTGTGATCTGTCTACTATGCCTGGCACATGGGATTTAAAATTTTCATTTTAAAAAAAGTTTGTGGGATTCAAAGATGAGGCTTTCTGGTTTTCAAAGACTAAGCTGGATGTGGGGAGGAGTGCTCTTAGGAGACCTACACAGATCCCATGTGGCCTGTTTGGCACCTCCGAGGGGTGACATGGCCTTCTGCTGGAGGTGACCCTGCTGGTCAGGATGGGGTGGTCCTTGAGGCTAGCGTGAGTTGGTCTGTAAGCAGAAGCTCCACATTCACGTCTGTCTTTTGTTAAATTTGGCATCCTGCCTTCCTGTGATTTGTAGCTTAGAGAGGAACATGAATAGTGCCCAGGTGGTGGGACCCTGGATGCTACCCTTGCATTTGAGAGGTAACCCCTGAAGGCAGGCAGGATCCTTCCACCCATATCTCTGAGGTACTTCCCTTTTCCTTCTGTTGTGTGTTGTGTATCACATTTAGAAGCCAGTGTTTCTCCTTAGAAACATGCTGAGGGGAGGACATAGTGAACTGCTTTTTCCCTTAGTTGTGAGAGTCCCTGATGTCCCGGTGTTCCTCTCACTGAGCTCTTGGTGGTACCTTTATAGATACATGTGCCCCTGATGGACGCACAGGTTGGGGAAACTGGTAAAACTTGATTTGGGTGATCAGACACTGTGTTAATCTAGTGTTTCATCGACCAAAACGATAACCAAGTCTAGGAATGAACATAGTCACCTTACTTTGTGTCTGATTGTGTGCAGTGCCTTGCCTTCCGTCACTGCTTAGTTGGTAAGCTCGCTCTCTTGCCTGTCTAGTGTGTATTGTAAGCATGGTCACCTGTGCCCGATTGACACCGGCCTCATTGAGAAGAATGTCGAGCTCTCCTTTTCTGGCTCAGCAAAACCAATATATGATGATGACCCTTCTCTCGAAGGTAAGTGGGATGCTTCCGGGTTATGCTCAGACAGATACTTAACAGACAAAGCTCACCAAGTCATATTCAACTGGAACTACTTTCTCTTAAAGTTGTGGCTGGAGACTTTGTGCTTTGAACAAGCTACAAGCAAAATCACTCCGATGGCTCTGATGAGCACTGCCCGGCCCACCTGATAAGAAATGTCAGCTGACTTGGGTGCTCAAAGTGTGCCACTCCAGCTTCTGGGGTTTTGATGTGAGTCATAACTCTTAGTCCACTTTCTTTTGGGAAACTGTTTTTCTTCTCTTAGGTGGTGTGAATGGCAAAAATCTTGGCCCCATAAATGAGTGGTGGATCACTGGCTTTGATGGAGGAGAAAAGGCCCTTATTGGCTTCAGCACCTGTAAGTGTTTGACTAAGTGTAGCCTTATTCTGGGGACTGAAAGGGGACCTTCGTTCCTCTCCTTCCTGGAAGTTAGTTGGGCTCTGGCGTGAACTCTCAGCAGGCCGGCAGAAAGTGCCACGTGACCATGTTGGAACCATGTTGAGTTCAGTTGGGATGCCTCTCTTGGTAACTTCAACTGGCTCTGGAACAGAACCTCTAATTATAAGAGCAGGTCATATTCTTGCCACTTAAACCCTGACCAAATTCCAGAAGCACAGACAAGCTAAATCAAAACCCGCTCAGTCAATCCCAATTCTGTCACTGGCTCAAACAGCCGCATCAGAATGAGCTAACTCTGCTTCATTGTACTTTGAGATTTTGACATTTGTGTGTGGAAGGGTTTTTAGGCTGGTCTGGAAGCTTGAACAACTCGTCCCTTACCTGTGGCTATTGTAGGCGCCATCAAGTTCAAACTATTTGTAAAAACGTCCTCTCTTCACTCCAGCATTTGCCGAATATATCCTGATGGACCCCAGTCCAGAGTACGCTCCAATATTTGGGCTGATGCAAGAGAAGATCTACATAAGTAAGATAGTCGTCGAGTTTCTGCAGAATAATCCAGACTCGACCTATGAAGACTTGATCAATAAGATTGAGGTAGGAGCTTTAGGTTCTTCGTCATTGGGGATTCCCGCCTGTTCACAGAGATGTTGTGAAGGAACTCATGTCTAGAATCAGTAGAAACTCTTCCAGTTGGATTAAAACAGTTTTGCTTGAGTATAAGAGAAATGTCTTATATTTTTCTTCTTTTCAAAGACCACTGTTCCTCCTTCTGGTCTCAACCTGAATCGGTTCACGGAGGACTCTCTCCTTCGACACGCCCAGTTTGTGGTGGAACAAGTAGAGAGTTATGATGAAGCTGGGGACAGTGATGAGCAGCCAATCTTCCTGACCCCCTGCATGAGAGACCTGATCAAGTTGGCTGGAGTCACCCTTGGACAGAGGTAAGGATGCAGCGGACATAAAACTGAAGCAGGAAGAAGGCAGAGTGTCCTGTGTACTCTTCTGTGAGCCACCGCTAAAATGGTGGACCTCTCTCCCAGGCGAGCTGAAAGACGTCAGACCATCAGGCATTCTGCCAAGGAGAAGGATAAGGGACCCACCAAAGCCACCACCACCAAGCTGGTCTGCCAGATCTTTGACACTTTCTTCCCAGAGCAAATTGAGAAAGATGACAGAGAAGACAAGGAGAATGCCTTTAAACGCCGACGATGTGGCGTCTGTGAGGTAACTTTGGCCAGGCCCTACTCCCAAACTCCTGACGTGGCCCCGATGTCATCTCTGAGGAGCTGGCTTCTTTGGAACCCTTTGTGGCTTGACACTCTTACTACTCAAATGTGATTTCTTGACGGAAGTTGGGAGGAGGAGTTGGGATCTGAGGCAATCTGCACACCCTTCAGTATAGGGCAGTTGCTGTGACAGCCGTCTGAAGAGGTGACTTGGTGCTTTGCTGTACATGCCCGTGGTGGTCATTAAAGAGCAGCGGCCCTGAGCCCAGGCTGCCTGGCGTCATTTGCTGTTTGCTGTGTGTCAAGGCCCCAGTGTGAGTGCTTAGGGAGACACTCCCTCAAGGAAGGGGCTGCTCCTGGGGGGGAGGAGAGCCTCCCAGGAACTGGCCTTGCCTCACAGCATGATTTCCTGCAGGAGTGGGCACCTTGTCAAACTTAGACTGGAGGCCACAAAAGGCTTCTTTCTTTCTATGAATTTTTTTTATGTATGTTTATGTCAACGTATGAGAATTAACCTCCCTAATATGACCCAGAAGGAGCTCTGTGGCACAGTGCCTACCCTTCATGGATAGGGCCTTATTAACATAACACAAACCCCATTCCCAACCAGGATTATATGCACAGCTATAGGGGCTAGAATTCCTGCACCTGTTTTTGAAGGACACAGTTCAATTCATAGCACAGTTGATAAGCTTTTTTGATGATCTTTTCTAGGTTTGTCAACAGCCTGAGTGTGGAAAGTGTAAAGCCTGTAAGGACATGGTTAAGTTTGGTGGTAGTGGACGGAGCAAACAGGCCTGCCAAGAGAGGAGGTGGGTTTGGCCAGTTTTGGGGGGCTTTTTTTGTAGCTGATGGGGAACATGCCAGCTGATGGTAAATGGACTGGTCCTGAGGGGCTTGCTCTGTGAAAATGGTGGTGTCACACAGCCTGTTGCTGGCATCTAACTGCACAGCCCTGCTGGTTTTACTTATAAAAAGGGCCTGGCTCACCACCAGGATATTGTGGGAGGAAACCTCTGTTCCCCAGTCCAACCTTAAAACCTGTAAGTGGCTTTGCAGGTGTCCCAATATGGCCATGAAGGAGGCAGATGATGATGAAGAAGTGGATGACAATATCCCAGAGATGCCATCACCCAAAAAAATGCACCAGGGGAAGAAAAAGAAACAGAACAAGAATAGGATCTCTTGGATTGGAGAAGCCGTCAAGGTAATCTTTGGAGAAGACTCTTGATTGGTTGCTGCCACTCTCCTGATAAGCAAGCTGTCTCCTGGTCTCTTGCCCAGCAGCCCTCGTCAGCAGCCTGAGCCTGGAGCTGAGAACCCTGCTCGTCTGTCCCATGAAAGAGCAGGACCGGCCGAGAGGCCAAGGCCCGTGGCCGAGCACCAGTAACGTGTTTTACTTATGTGCTCATAAGACACAGTTTTCCTGATGTTAGAAAATGGGCATTTTACACAATTCTGGGGGCTGGTTTGAAGAGAGCGGTCCCAGCCACCCTGGCCTGGGAATGGTGATTTCAGGCATTAGCAGATTCATTTGTGGTCATCTGTCTGTTTAAGGGTCAATCCTTTACCTTGAGAGGAAATGTCCTCTTACTGTTACTTCTCCAGTGTTTATAAACCAAAGATGCAGACGGGTCAGTCAGTAAGCATGAGCACCTGCCATCTGCCGGGTGCTGTTCTGGGAACGTGGTGGGAACGTGCAGAAAAGCCTTGTGGGGCTGATAGTCCGGTGCAGGAGGAAGACAGACACACGCTGTCAGGTGGTGTGAGTGCACAGCAGAGCACAGCAGGGTACAGGCACAGGACGGGGCTGAAAGGTTAGAGAGGAGCTGGCTAGTAACGGTCTGAGAAGAACACCTGAAGAGGCTTCAAGATGGGGTTAGCAGCCACGTGGCAGGAGCGGAATGAGCACAGGACTGACACTGCAATTGGATTTGCTACTGGTGTTGAGCAGAGCTGATGATAAGGAGGCTGAGGGTGCCTTTGCTATGGGTTTCCAGTGAGGGGAGCAGACGTTCCCTTCAGGAGCCAGGCCTGGAGAGCATGTTGACTTCTTTTTAGTCAAGTCATTGATGAGTTACGGTTTTATATAACAGAAGACCACACAGGTCAGTCTAGCACGGACCTTCAAAATGATCCTCAAATTAAACGTTCTTGTTTTCAGACTGATGGGAAGAAGAGTTACTATAAGAAGGTATGCATTGATTCGGAAACCCTGGAAGTGGGGGACTGTGTCTCTGTTAGTCCCGATGATTCCTCAAAACCGCTGTATTTAGCAAGGTTTGTATCCTTCCCTTTGCTTGACTTCAGCCACACTTAACCAAGTAGGAGATGAATATTTTGCAAGATTAGCAGCAACAGCAGCTCTTTGCTCTAGACTAAAACCAAAAGAGATGCAGTCCCCTAAGTAGACTCAGTCACATATCTGCTTGCCACATTAGAACTTTCTTTCCCTTCCCCTCTCCCAATTCCAGGGTCACGGCCTTGTGGGAGGACAGCAGCAATGGACAGATGTTTCACGCCCACTGGTTCTGCGCTGGAACGGATACAGTCCTGGGGGCAACGTCGGACCCTCTTGAGCTGTTCCTGGTAGATGAATGCGAGGACATGCAGCTTTCTTACATTCACAGCAAAGTGAAGGTCGTTTATAAAGCACCATCGGAAAACTGGGCTTTGGAGGTGAGCACTTGGCCCCGCCTCACTGCCTGTGCCCAGGCCTTATTGTATGGGGTCAAGGCTGACACAGGATTCTTCTCACCACAGGGAGGCATGGATCCCGAGCCCATGATGGCAGAGGACGATGGGAAAACCTATTTCTACCAGTTCTGGTATGATCAAGACTATGCAAGGTTCGAGTCCCCTCCAAAAACTCAGCCAACAGAGGACAACAAGTACAAGTGAGCATCGGCCTTGGGCTCTGGTGGTGTCCCTCCTCGTGACCCTGTTCTGCTGCCCTCAACGATGACATGCTGTCTGTGTGATCACTCTGGCTCTTAATGGGCTTCCATCGGGGGCGGGAGGGGTATCCCCCAGCCTCCCCTTCCCGCCCTGCTTGTCTTCTTGCTAAACAAAGGCCCATCAACTTCACTGAAGTTGCCTGAGTGTGTAGGAATTACCTTCATAACAAGTTTTCATGTCTGAGAGCAGGACATGTCTCCCATTTTAGGACTGGGTGGGTATGTCTCATTTCACATATCTTCATTTGCTTCTTAGGCTATTTCCTCTTATTTATAAATGAGGTCTTCTATTCCATTTTCTTGTAACTGGGGTTGGCTGTTTTTAGGGAGGCTTCTTTATTTTAATGATTAGTTCCCATGCCTTTCTTTCTAACCTCTATGCCTCACTTGTTTTGTCCGAAAACGTTGGCAGATGTTTCTAGAGCACAGCATTAATGGTGATGGGCAATGGCGGAAGGGCTCCCTGAGGCTTCTGGGATATCTCTGGCCAGCCTGATGCTGGCTGTAACTTGCTCTGCATTAAGACATCCCTTTTTCTCCTCACGGGATTTGCCAAACAGGAATAATGTTGAGTTCTGTCAAGTACCTTCTTAGCCTTTATAAACAAAATGGTCTGAGCCTCTTCCCACATATTAACGTAGCGATTTACGTTGAGTTGCTAGTGGACTTACCCTTGTATTCTTGCTCACGGTGTTTTCTTAACCATATTCTTGATTCTGTTTTACGTCTCAAGATATTTGTATTGATTATTCAGAAGTGGGGTTGCCTTGCAATTTTCTTGTGTTGAATACTATCAGCTTTGATCCCCCAAAAAATGCTTTCAGAAGAATAAAAATAGTTAACAGGAGAGCTAGTTTTCTCATCAAATACCTGCAGATATTTTCTCCTTTTGGTCACCTGAGTTTCTGGATTAAGCCAGAGGCTGCCGGCAAAGTCACTCCCAGCCACCTCATGCCTTTGTTTCTGTCCTCATTCCTTTAGGTTCTGCGCAAGCTGTGCCCGTTTGGTTGAAATGCGGCAAAAAGAAATCCCCAGGGTCACAGAGCAGCTCGAGGACCTGGACGGCCGGGTCCTCTACAGTTCAGCCACCAAGAACGGCATTCAGTACCGGGTGGGAGATGGTGTGTACCTCCCGCCCGAGGCCTTCACGTTCAAGTGAGTACCTCCATTGGCCCAAGTCAGGGACGTGAGCTCTGTACCAGGAAAGGGTTGGCCTTGGGATGTTCTCTCCCATCCAGAAGTCTCCTGCCCCTCATCCTTAATCCCAGCTGCTGCCTGTGCCGTCAAGTTTGGCCTTGGTGGGATCAAATAGGATGCAGCTATCCAGTCTAGACTGCTGCAGAGTGAGTCTGCGGGAAGTCTGTGTCAGTGGAAGGGCTTCTGGCCAGGGACTTCCTCTCAGTTCCATGTGTAAGATGGGAGAGAATTTTCTTGGCTGATAGTACTCTTAACTATTAAGGGAGTTGATACAAAAGTGCTCAGCACAGTATCTGGCCTAGAAGAAAGATGTTGTGAATATGGACTATTTGTTGTTTAATGGGAATCGCATCAAAAGACTTCTTTCCATGTCAGAGGATTGATGCTCTTCAGGGAAAAATCAAGGCCACAGATACTTTCCACCCTTGATTCATTCTTTTCTCATTCTAAGGATTAATATGTGTGGTTGGAATTACAACCAAAATTTTCCTCATTTCGTCAATGCAATTCTGTTTTCTGATTTGTAGTTTGCTTTTTCTAGAACCCTGACTGGAATGCGTTCCCCAACCTCTGTTCAGTTACTCTGCGTTACAAAATGTGGGGAAGCAGGTTCCCTCCAGCCCCAGTGCAGTCAGTGCACTTGCCCTCAGGCACTGTTGTCCTGGGCGTGGGTAGGGAGGCCCTTCCGTGGTGCTGCTTACCAGGTGCTCCTGGCCCAGCAGATGAGTCAGACACAGGTGCTTCAGAGTAGCTGTTGTTAAAGTCAGGTGGCCACTTTGCCACAGTGGTTGGACCACAGTCTGGCTGCCCCAGGCCATGTGTTCACTCCCCCTGGCTTCCCCAGTATCACTTCTAGTGAGTACCTCAGCCAATGGGGAGTGGATCATGCCGTGGTGACAGCCCCCAAATCACAGTGATTTAAACTACAGAAGCTTATGTTTCTTGTTCGTACGTTGTGTCCATCATGGTTTAGCAGGGTGACTCGGCCTGCTAAGTCACTTGGGGATCTGAGCTGACAGAGCTCCACCTTTTCAAAAGCTGCTGGTCTCTGGCCCAGCGAGGAAGCCCAGTGAGACCTCCCCGCACCACTTCATGCTCATCAGGCAGAACTGGTGCTCATGGTAGGAAGTGGCCAGAGGCAGAGAGAGAGCTGGGAAGATCTGAGCAGCATTAACAACTGTCACAGCCTTTAGTGCACAGATGAGAACACTCATTTTAAACTGTGGCTGAGATTTCATCTTTGTCTAAATCTTTCCTAAGGCACTGAGCTGCATTCGTTTGTAAGATGTTTGGATTAAAATGGTCATTGTTACTGACTAGTCATGCTCAACTCCCTTAAGGCTAATGTTCAGTTGTCCTAATGGTTGCTTCTCTGCAGCATCAAGCTGTCCAGCCCGGTGAAACGCCCCCGGAAGGAGCCTGTTGACGAAGACCTGTACCCAGAACACTACCGGAAATACTCTGACTACATCAAAGGCAGCAACCTGGACGCCCCTGAGCCGTACCGAATTGGGCGGATAAAAGAGATCTTCTGTACCAAAAAGAGCAATGGGCGGCCCAACGAGGCGGACATCAAGATCAGGCTCAACAAGTTTTACAGGTGGGGAAGGCCTCTCTCTTCCAGGCGGCTCTGTCTGAAACGGGCTCATCTCACACACACAGTCGTTTATTACTAGAGTTCTGTGTGTTTTCACCTCAATTAAAAAAAAAGGCTAAATTACCTGGTGGGCAGTGGCAGTGACTATAATTATGTTTTACAGCCCTAGCCTTTAGTTGCTGCTTTCAAAGTTGCAGAGCCCTTTCTGCAAAAGAAATCCTTAAGCAGAAGTCCACAGTGTGATGACAGCAGCAGTGGAAGGGTCAGAGGCACGCCGAGGGTACTCTAAAGTCCCGTTTAGGACTGTCCAGGTTCTGCCCTCCCCTAGGCCCTCACTTCCTGAAGGTCCTGCTGTTCCCAGGTCCTTGTTCCTGTTTTTGGAGTTACTCTGCTTTTCCCAAGCTGTTGGGTTAATTCAGTCTTGTTCTTCTGGGTCTCTGGTAACTGATAGTGATTAGAGTGCCTAAAGTAAATCCATTCAGATAGGTATAAGCTTGCTTCACTTTTAGCTAATGCATATCGTAACATAGATTTCCTAAAGTCTTTGTAATAACGGGAAAGAAAACAAAGAGGCTGAAGGTCAGAGCGAGAGAAGGAAGCTGTCCGTAGCAAGAGGTAGGCAGCTGCTGTTGTGGTGCAGGCCTGGTCTGTCTGAGCTGAGGGCGAGTGAGGGTCACGAGAGCAATCCAACAGACGTTAGCTGAGTTCAGCAAAGAGTTCATTCACTTTGTCATGTTTCATGCCAAATAAGGGGGATAGTGACAATGCCTACTTAAATGGGTGATCATGGTCTTCGCCCATTGACTCACTGCGCGAGCACTCCTAGGCATGTGCCATTTAATTCATTGTAAGCTCACAGCGAGGGGCGGTGGTGGCTCGGTGGGGGGACTCTCGCCTTCCATGTGGGACTGGGCTCGGTCTCTGGCCTCCTACAGTCACCGTCTGTCAGTGGAGCATACGTGTTACCTGATGCAGAACAAGGGTCGGCGGAGCTGCCAGACTGAGGTGGGCTAGGAGGAAAGGTCTGACGACCCGCTTCCAGAACCAGCCATTGAAAACCCTCTGGGCACAGTTGGTCCATCTGCCACAGACTTGGGGGACAGTGCAGGACTGGGGGTGTTTGGTCTTATTGTGCGTGGTGTCAACTCGAGGACACTTTCAGCAAAAGAGAATCCGTAACAGACTCTTCCTCTTGCAGGCCAGAAAACACTCACAAGTCCACCCCAGCAAGTTACCACGCAGACATCAACCTGCTTTACTGGAGTGATGAGGAGACCGTGGTGGACTTCAAAGACGTGCAGGGCCGCTGCACTGTGGAGTACGGGGAGGACCTGCCTGAGTGTGTCCAGGACTACTCGGCGGGAGGCCCAGACCGCTTCTACTTCCTCGAGGTGGTGCTCTAGGCTTCCATGAGGGAAGTTTCAAGATTTGGGGTTCTGTAGACTAGTGTGAACCCATCCTGTGGGAGCTGTGGGGGGCCCTGGGCAGAGCATCACAAAGGTTTAGTTGTGGAGAAGTCCTCTGTGGTGCACAGGCCTGACCACGCCCGCTTAGAATTTAACACTTGAGCTTTCAAACAATTGCAGTGATAGAAAAAGAACTAATGCAGCTTATATTTGTTTGAGAATTGTCAGACGATCTTTGCCAGCCCAGCTAGCGCTGTCCTATGAAGTAGGAACGCTGCCTGTCTCCTGGGAGACACAATGCCTTCCGTCTAGCACCTGCTTTCAGGCCTGGTCCACACAGCCATGTGTGTCCTGGTTATCCAGGGAGGACCTAGGAAGCAGTTGATCAAGCTAATCACGTCTAACTGTCTGGGCTTGGTTTTCTTTGTTGAGTCACGTTAACATAATCCATGTCTGTGCTTCCCCAGGCTGCTGTGTGTAGCCTAATCTGCCCATAGTCTGTCCTCTTGCGTGCAGAGCGTGTTTTCCTATTTTAAGAATGATCCCAGGCCGCGGGGTCCCACATTTCAATGGTCCCCACAGATCCAGGTTCAGATAGCAGAGATTTCTGTGTCAGCCGAGTAAAATACTCATATAATAGAATAAGTTTATTTTGAGTTCCTAGTATAGCAAATTCAGGTAACTCTTGGTGGCTGATTGGTTCTGGCCCTGTGTAGGAAGGCATTAAGTGAATCTTTATCCAAATCATGTCTTACGGAATCTTGGTTAGCAAGGGACCAGTGTGCTTCTCCACCAGACTACTGTAGTTCTCTCCTTTTCAGGCCTACAATGCAAAAAGCAAAAGCTTTGAGGACCCTCCAAACCATGCCCGGAGCCCCGGAAATAAAGGGAAGGGGAAGGGAAAAGGTATGTCTTCAAGTCTGTCCTGTGTAACTCAGGGTAGTGAAAAAGGGCAGCATGATATCTGTTCCTGGGAAGTTACCATCTGTCCCTTGTTCTTTGTTAACAACTCAAGACGAGGTCACTCGGAGTTAATGAGGTGTTTGAAGAGAGTTGGGACCATTGTCAGTTTGATTTACTTTGTGGCCGGTCTACTCCAGGGAAAGGCAAGGCAAAGTCTCAGACATGTGAGCCGAGGGAGCCACAGCTGGAGGTCAGGCTGCCCAAGCTCCGCACCCTGGACGTGTTTTCCGGCTGTGGAGGGCTGTCGGAAGGATTCCATCAAGCAGGTAGACGCTGCAGGCTTTCTCTCGGAATATCTCGTAGAACTGGATCAGGCAGGTTCTGCCCACAAGACCTTTCTGGCTCTGGTTACTGCTTTGGCTCAGGAGGCTCATTCAGGAGCCTTCCAAGCATGGCTTTGTCCTTTCATCCGTTCAGAATTTAACAGTCCAGCTTTCAAACAGTTACAGCGATTGAAAGGCGTTTTATCCACACCTTTTATCCAGGCATCTCCAAAACACTGTGGGCCATTGAAATGTGGGACCCCGCCGCCCAGGCATTCCGGCTGAACAACCCTGGGTCCACAGTGTTCACGGAAGACTGCAACGTCCTGCTGAAACTGGTCATGGCCGGGGAGGAGACCAACTCCCGTGGCCAGAGACTGCCTCAGAAGGGAGATGTGGAGATGCTGTGTGGTGGGCCGCCCTGCCAAGGGTTTAGTGGCATGAACCGCTTCAACTCTCGCACCTACTCCAAGTTCAAAAATTCCCTGGTGGTCTCCTTCCTCAGGTAAGGGGTAGGACTTCCCTGTGGCTCTGGCCTCGGGTGAGTGAATGAATCACTGGTATGTGTGGCCCAGGAGTGGCTGGACAGCAGGCCCCCGCCTGAGAGACTCAGGGTGCCAGTGGCAAGCAGTGAGTGCTGTAGTTTGCACACCTGTTGTGTGCTCTGTACTGAGGTGAGGTGCCTGGTCTTTGCCTTCAGGAAATTGACAGCCCAGCTCACCCTGGGGAAAGTTTCGAGGGTTGGGAGCGCAACCTCTCAATAACCCAAGGTCAAGCATAGAGTAGGTCTGAGTCTCCTTGGCTGCAAGGGTTACTGTTGTGTCTCCCACCTTCCCCAGCTACTGTGACTACTACCGACCCCGCTTCTTCCTCCTGGAGAATGTCAGGAACTTTGTCTCCTTCAAGCGCTCCATGGTCCTAAAGCTGACCCTCCGGTGTCTGGTCCGCATGGGCTATCAGTGCACGTTTGGCGTGTTGCAGGTGAGCCTCCGGTGGAATGGGGGTCGGGCTGAGTTAGGGTGTATTTTGCATGTAGGAAGGTCATGAATTTGGGGGGGCCAAAGGGTGATGTGTTAAGGATTGAATTCTATCCCCCAAAAAAGATATGTTGACATTGCCTAGGTCCTCTGTGCTTGTGACTATGACCTTGTTTAGGGTAACCAGGTTTTTTTTCCAGATGCCATCAGTTACTGTAGTCACACTGGAGAAGGGGGTTCCTAATGAAATTAGAATGGGGAGTGGGCATCTCCTGTACTGCTATGAACTGTCCATAGCCAAAAATAGGGTCAGGTTGGGCCTGTCCTTCGAGCAGCAGAGTCTGGGTTTGGTCTGGTGGTACTGGGTGCTGATGAGGTCGCGGGGGGTGGGGTTTGCTGCGGACCTGCATGTCACCAGTGCCTCGTGGGTCCCCTTTGTAGCCTCTCTAGAGGCCCAGCCTTATGCGTGCCTGACGGTGGGGCAAGGGGTCTCTTGTTGCTTTGTGCCCTCCTTGGGAGCTGTGTTCTCTGTCCCTGTCACCATGCACTTCCAGGTTGTCAGACAGGGCTCTTGGTCCCCTCTGCTGCTTTTCTCCCTGAGCACCAAGACCTGTGGCCCTTGCTGTGCTCTCTAAGTAGCTTCTTGGCATCGCCAGTGCGGTTTACACCTGTCTCCACCCTTGACCCTACGTGGGATCGTGTTTTGTCTTTTCGTCTGGGCCAATGTCCTCATGCCAGGTCTAGACTGGTTAAGTAGAGCTGTACAAAGGAGCTTTACATCACGGCCACCCCAGAAGGTGAGGTGCTGGCGACCTGTGACTGTGTGTCTGACCCTCCTGTGTGCAGGCTGGCCAGTATGGCGTGGCCCAGACACGGAGGCGGGCCATCATCTTGGCTGCAGCCCCTGGAGAGAATCTCCCTCTGTTCCCGGAGCCACTGCACGTGTTTGCACCCCGGGCCTGCCAGCTGAGCGTTGTGGTGGATGACAAGAAGTTTGTCAGCAACATAACAAGGTGGGAGCCCCACTCTGTCACAGAGCAGGTGCTGAACATGGCAGATGTGTTATCCATTGAGGGTTCCTCTGTCAGGAGGTCTAAGCTGAGGAGACCTTTACAGGGAAGCTGACGGCACAGCGTCTGACCTGCCACCTCCAGCCTCAGGCTGCCAGTCACCTGTCTGCCCTTGATAATGACACTACATCAGCACTATGTTCAGGTGCCTGGCCACATGGGATGCAGCCATGCAAGCCCCTTCTCTAGCGTTTCTCCTCTCAGGTGGTGTCCAAGGGAAGAATACGGCCCGTGTGGCCTCTGGAAGCCTTTGACCTCTGAGCTGGCATGGGTAGCACCGCAGCCAGGGGCTGAACCCAGTATGGGGCAGGGGGCTGGCACACTGAGACCACTAGGACGGCAGCAGCACAAGTCCCCGGAGGTGGTGACCGTCTTTTGTGCACTCTTGCAGGTTAAGCTCGGGACCGTTCCGAACCATCACAGTGCGGGACACCATGTCGGACCTCCCTGAGGTCCGCAATGGTGCGTCGGCGCTGGAGATCGCATACAACGGGGAGCCTCAGTCCTGGTTCCAGAGGCAGCTCCGAGGCACGCAGTACCAGCCCATCCTCAGAGACCACATTTGTAAGGTATAGTCCCCTGCTAGATCAGGACCTCCCCTGTCTGCCAGCCTGGCTAGGCACCAGCTCAGACCAGTTCCCTCAGGGAAGTGGATCGAGGTCCTGGGTGGGACGCAGAATCTGCTTCCTGACCCCTCCTTCCCTTAGAGTCCCCTCAGCCGGCTCACAGTTCCCTTGCTTATCTCCACTGCTGCTCTTGGCCCCTGATTCAAACTGTCACCATCTCTGTGGGCTCCCAGCATCACCTCCTTGCTGTTGCTTGGCTTCTGTTCTTGCCTCCCACAGCCCTTGTCCCCCACAGCCTGTGCCCCCACAGCTGTTACCTCTTACAGCAACACGTAGTTTTGTAAAGCTTCAATCTGAGCTTTGGCTATTCCTGGAGTAACCCCAAAATGTTGTATATGACCACTGGGGTATCTTCCCCCCTACTTCTTGTATCACACAACTCTTCCTATAGCTAGCTCCTCGTTCTACAGGGGCTCACCTCAGACACCACCTCCTCAGAGAGGCTCTCCCCCATGCTGGACCCGTTCCCGCCCCCCACTAGCCCATCCCTGCGTTGTTGTCTCTGTGGTGTGTGTGTGGTCCTTGTGAGTTTCTGATTGGGTGTGTCATGTCTCTTCCTAATGGGATTCCAGCTCATGGGGTTCCTGGTCACCAAGGTGTTCCCAGTGCCTAGACAGTGCCCGCCCCTTGTGGATGTCCAGATGCTGGCTGATGGATGACCGCTGGGCCCACTGCTCTCTTAGGACATGAGTGCACTGGTGGCTGCCCGGATGCGGCACATCCCTCTGGCCCCAGGCTCAGACTGGCGTGACCTGCCCAACATCGAGGTGCGGCTTTCTGACGGCACCATGGCCAGGAAGCTACGGTACACCCACCATGACAGGAAGAATGGTCGCAGCAGCGCCGGGGCCCTCCGTGGGGTCTGCTCCTGTGTGGAAGGTGGGGCCTGGCTCCTCAACGTGGGCTTCCTACCCCCACCACTCCCCTTAGACTGACTCCCTGCAGTCCCCAGGGCTGTGGGCCAGGGAAAGGAGGACTGTCTCCTGGGGTCCCTTTGGCCAGCAGGAGGCGCTCAGGACTTCTACTTACTAATCTGGAGATCCAGGTCAGGCGCAGACACGCCAAGTCTGGGCATCCCTGCTGTCAAACAACTGTTGAAAGTGTTAGACAATAAAAGCTGTGCCCAGTGCTCACTGCTGCCTCCTGCAGCTCCGAAAGCCAGTCTGTGCCTACTCCAGAGCTGCAGCTGACTGCAGCGCTCTCTTTCAGCGGGCAAAGCCTGTGACCCCGCAGCCCGACAGTTCAACACCCTCATCCCTTGGTGCTTGCCCCACACCGGGAACAGGCACAACCACTGGGCAGGCTTGTACGGACGGCTCGAGTGGGATGGCTTCTTCAGCACGACTGTCACCAACCCCGAGCCCATGGGCAAGCAGGTAGCGGGGCAGGGGCAGGGCGTCAGGCCCTGGGGCCAGACCTGGACTGTGAGGCTGGGATGAGGGTGGCACATCCTTGAGGAGATGGTCTGATAGACGGGCTGGTGGGTTTCTCCATGGCACAGGGCCCCGCCCCTCGCCTCCCCTAGTGGCATCTGGCCTTGTTCTCTGTCCCTACTGCGGCCTCTCGCTCTCAGGGCCGTGTGCTCCACCCAGAGCAGCACCGTGTGGTGAGCGTGCGGGAGTGTGCCCGCTCCCAGGGCTTCCCGGACACCTACCGGCTGTTTGGCAACATCCTGGACAAGCATCGGCAGGTCAGTGGAGTGGAGCCTGGCCGCTCCCACTCACTTCCGCCTCACTTCTCTTGGAAGGTTTAGTTTATACTCGGAGGTGCCTGGGCGTCTGGTTTTCACTAGGGTGGAGAGCAGTCCATCACTGGGCATGCCATAGTTACCTCTCAGGTGACGGGTGAGGGCCCAGCTGTTAAGTCTGAATGTTGCTTTCATATCCCTGTGAGAAGGGTGGTAGTATGGGGAGGGGGGCATAGCTCCCTGTGAGCTTAGAACACTCAGGAGGCAGCGCCTATGTCCTTGAGTCAGCCTATGTCCTTGAGTCAGCCTATGTCCTTGAGTCAGCCTATGTCCTTGAGTCAGCCTACATCCTTGAGCACATTGGTTACGTTTTATAGCTTCTAGGCAGAGATGTAGCCTGAGAAATGTTCCAGTGCCTTATACTTCAGCGAGGGAGCTGCCGAGTGTGTGCCTGGGGATGAATTCACTGTTGCTAAGGGTTGGAATGAACCGATGAGTCCTGATTGACTCTTAAGAGTGTCAGATTGGCTCTTTTTTCATTAGATACATTTTCATTGAAGTAATGCATGCATGTGGCTTAAAAATCCACGGTGCCCAGGGTTTCTAATGAAATCTTACCCTTTCCTTCCAAATCCTACTCTCTGCAAAGCTTAACTGGAAGTTAAGGGTATTCCTGGTGGTGTTTATATCTTTAAGAGTTTATCTAAAGCCCTTTAAAGGCCCCTTTTTTGTGGTCTTGACACCGAGAGATTTTGGGTAGAAGGCTTGGGTGGATTGGAGGGTGTGGCAGCCGTTGTGGTGGAAGGACTTTCAGGGACTTTTGTAGGGGCCTAGTGCCCAAGTCATTGTTTGCTGTCAATCTCTGCACAAAAAAAGCCTGTCTCCAGACACTGATCCTGGCATTGCCAAACCAAGCCTCTGCCCTCTCCCTCCTGTAGGTCGGTAATGCTGTGCCACCACCCCTGGCCAAGGCCATTGGCTTGGAGATCAAGCTCTGTGTGTTGGCCAAAGCTAGAGAGAGTGCCTCAGGTATGGCAGGTGGGGTGGGAGTGGGCTCCTCCGGGGCCTGTCGTAGCTGGGCTTCAGCTCCCTCTGGGATGTGCAGCTGCAGGCAGCTGAGCACAGTGGTGCCAGTCTAGGGTCTGCAGCCAGGCCTCCTGACTTCACACTCTACCCACCTCTGTACTAGGGCGAGTTACCTACCCTCCCTGGCAGCCCCATTTTCCTCAAGAGGTGGCTTGGGTGGGTTGTATGTGTTGAGCATAGAGGCCGGGCCTGGCACGCAGTAGGTGTGTGGTCAGGGCTGGCTGCTCTGCTGGCTCTGCTGCTGAGTGAACCTGGCCTGGCAGTCCCTGCTCCAACACTGACCACGTGTTCTAGAAGCCTACTCAAGGCAGCAAGTCTGGAGGCCCACTTAGAACTATGGCAGCTTCTTAGAGATGGGCTGTTAACACTGGTTCCTGAGTTTATGCATTTGTCAGACTTGCCTGTCACTTAGAGGTAACATTGTATGTCTTCCCAGAATGACTCTTCCTTTTTCTTCCCTTTCAGCTAAAATAAAGGAGGAGAAGGCTACCGAGGACTAGTTTTGCTCTCTGCCACCCTCGTTTCCAGCACCAGGAATCCCCACCATGCACTGATGTTTATTTTTAACATGTCGAAATCTGTTGGTTCCAATGTGTTGTACACGATGTTTGTGGCCTTGACTGACATGGAGCTGTTCTGTGAGGTTCGCTTCTCAATAACTGTGTAGTGATCAAACTGTGCAGTCCTTTGTGCATTTTGGATTTTAAAGGTTTTTTTATTATGCATTATATCAGATCTGCCACTATATGAGTGGGAATTAAGACTTTATGTAGTTTTTATATGTTGTAATATTTCTTCAAATAAATCTCTCCTATAATCCACCCTGGGTGATAACTCGTGATGTAGCCTGTGTGAGGCTCCTGGCTGCCTGCACCGGGGCTGGAGGGAACAGGGCTCTGTGGTGCCAGGTGACGTCTGAAGTGGATGACTGTGTGTCTGTGGCATGTGTTTGGGGGTAGGGCTGGGAGCAACTAGTGCGGCTCAGTTCTGGCCAATGAGACGCAAGTGGAACTTGCTAGTGTGTTTTCTAGGAAAGCCTTTTAAAGGAACATGCTGGGCTGGCCTCTCATGGCCTTGAGGACCTTCTTTGGTCAGATGGACTGTGGTACCTGGTAGTGCAGCAGCCATCTTGTGACCATGAGGACAGAAGCCTCTGCAGTGGATGATGAAGGAAACCCTTTCAAACTCTAGCCTTCCCACCTCCAGACAAAAACCCCTTATTTGCTTGAAATTCTGTTAGTTGGGCTTTCTTCAGCTTTCTGTTTAACCCAATCCTCTTGAATTCCAAGACTAACGAGGCTTTTCTTAGGTTTGTCTTTGGGAAAAGACTATAAAATGCCAAGAAAGCAGAAGCCCACAAAGAAACGTCAGTCACCAACACGCATGACCCAGAGGACCAGCGGTGGGACGCTGAGTAGCATCTGCGCGGCCACCTCTACATGTGATTTCATAGTGTTCTCTGAGGCACTTCAGCGAACTGACTTCATTCTGTGAGTCATAGACATCTTAGTTATATTTAGGTCTTCAGTCTCATGACCATCACAGTTTCAAGTTCCTTAATAATATTTCCCTTTCTCCTGTTGTAGACAGCACTGAACTGAACACCTTTGTACATTCTCTCCCATTCTCCCCTTAAGGGCAGGTGTCTGTCTACAAGAGATTTCTGGGTCTCTGGTGGTGTAGTAAGGAGCTCTGGTGGCATTGGGCTACTAACCAGAAAGTAGGTGATTCAAACCCACCAGCTGCTCTGCAGGAGGAAGATGAGGCAATCCACTTCAGTAAAAATTTACAGCCTTAGAAACCAAGTGGGGGCTCACTCTAAGTCAGAATCAACATATGGCATTGGGTTTGGTGGCATAGTGGTTAAAACATTTAGCTGCTAACCAGAAGATTGGCAATTCAAACTCGTCAGCTGCTCCATGGGAGGAAGATGAGACAGTCTGCTTCTGTGAAGATTTACAGCCTTGGAAATGCAATACAGCAGTTCCACTCAGTCCTGTATGGTCACTGTCAGTCAAAATCGACTCGATGGCAGTGGGTAGGAGTATTTTTAAAATTTTACTTCTTCAGAACAAGGGTGAACTACACCTCTGAGGTTCTGACACTGCATCTCAACAGGAAGGACTTTGCTTTAGCTCACTCCAGATTTGGCCTCTCTCTAATCCTGTCAACCGAATGGTGAAGATCTTGTTAGTGTTTTTCAGCAGTGACTATATACACCCATGTATCCAGGCGTCAGGAATGTTTTCTACTCTCTGTGGACCTCCTGACTTTCCTGGCTGAGGATATAGGGAGATCGGGGCATTGACCCTTACCTGTGTTTTGTCTCAATTCATCATGTCTCATACAGAGATACTCTAAGTTTAGGGCCTTAGATTTATTTATAAGGAGCCCTAGTGGTGTAGTGATTAAGCGCTCAGCTGCTAACCGAAAGGTCAGTGGTTCAAATCCACCAGCTGCTCAGCAGGAGATGAGGCAGCCTGCTATTCTAGGGGCGCTGTCAGTCAGAATCCACTCTATGGCAGTGGGTTTGGTTTGGGCTTTGCTTCCATAGGGATTTGACAGCCTTGGAAACCCTGTGAGGCTGTTCTACTCTGTTCTCTAGGAGTGCTGTCAGTCAGAATTGACTCAACGGCAGTGGGTTTGGTTGTTGGTTAAAAAAAAAAAATTTGTTGCCGTTGAGTGGATTCCGACTCATAGTGACCCCTCCTTGGGTTTCTGAGACAGTATCTCTAGGGAAATAGATTGCACAGTCTTCCTTCCAAGGAGTGGCTGGTAGGTTTGAACTACCAGCCTTCTAGTTGGCAGTCAAATGCCCTAAGACCCTAAGTGCCTAAGCACTACACCACTAGAGCTCCTTGGTTGTTGGTTAGGTTTATTTATGTTTGTCTTCTCATTTTCATTTTTTGTGGCCTATTTAGAAAGGCCTTTCCTATCCCTAGATCATAAGCGCTTGTTTTCCTCGATGTTCTCAGTGGAATGTGCTAATCGTTTTCTAAGCATTGAAACCGGGATCTCAGCTCAGTTTTTGAACAAGAAACAAACGCACAGGGAAAACACTCCCAGTCGGTATGGCAAAGGTGCCCCGTCAGATCTTATTTCTTAAATATACCTTCTGCTTGTATTTGAGCTAAAGTCCCGTTAAAGAGTATATAGCAAATACAGTGAAAAGTATGACAAGTCCTAACCTGTCTGCATTCCCAGGCTGCTTGGCGATGTGAGTTCCTCAGATCGGTCCACCAGCAATGAAACGCCTTTGTGCCGTGAGCTGGCTCCACACAGGAGTGTCTCACTTTCCCTTTGCTTTTTTTCTTGGAGTATAATAAGAAATAACAGAGACCTCTAGCCCACAACTCTTACCCAGGTATGGAGTTCCTGGGTGGTGCGAACAGTGAAGGTTGGCGGTCGGAGTCCACTCAGGTGCCTGGGAAGAGAGGCCTGGTGAAAAACTCGCTGTCAAAAAAAACCCTGCGGAG